CCTAGGGGATAACGTAAAGAATTTTAGCTGCAGTAATATCTGTAAATGTCTGAAATTTTATTACATCTATTCCTGTGATATGTAGGTGTCTCAAAATCAATATTTATCACATTGTTATCTCTTTTTTTCATAGAAAAATGAAGTGCAGCCATTATAGCTTAGGGTTTAGAAGACATTGAGTAGCAGAGTGTAGAACTCAAGTCACAGATTTACAGTAAAGTTGGAGGGAAAGACTTGTTAAATTAAACCTCTTATTAAAGGTAAACCTGATGTTCTGAATAATTTTTTTCCTGTACTTGGGTTGGAGAATAATTACTTTGTGATAACTGCATCATTATAAAAAAAATCTGAAGGAGAGATCTATAAATACTGAGGTCCCTTTCTGGTTGGGTGACTACCGAGACATTGATTACAACAAGGTTAAACTGTGCTTTGTCCCGTGATATACTCAATCCTTTAAATCAGTGTCTTCTTTGGTAATCAGAGGCAGAGCAAAAGCATTATTAGTTTTTAAATCTCCCTCAGCAAAGACCCTGCCTGAAAGGGCACAGACCCAAATACTGGAAAATTTAAGGTGGAACGACAAATTTCAGAGTGAAGGCCACTGTTTAATGAAACAAACAAAGTTTGATTTTTAAATCCGTTTCTAATTCCAGACGAAATTTCATGATATTGTAAACAATATTTATTTTGAAGACATATGTTTCATATCAATCACAAATTCAATACTTTTATACCCAGATCTGAACTCAGGTGAACAAGAAATATTGGGAAGTAGGGAATCTAGCAAACTACATAATTAGCCTAAAAAATAATGAACGATGGGAGTCAGGCCTTGAAAGGTAAAGGATTTTCAGAAAGAATGCATTTTCATGGGAAGGTAGACCACAGCAGCATTGAGAACTACATCCCACTGCTCTGTAGTGCCCAAACCACATGATCTCTTTGATTTGTTAGCCACTTGAAAATCATATATTATGCTTTTATTGTCTGCTGATCAATTTTATTTATTGTTGTATTGCATGTTTGATAACTAGATATAAAAATTGACTGAGAAGATTTTTTATAGCCCTAGCCAAACCTCTGTAAGAGAGTCATGTATATAAGCCTGAGAGAGATTGATTCCAGTGCACGTAGCTCAAAACCTCAATATTTCTTAAAAGTTCAGATTCCTTTCAGCATTTAACACAAATGAACAAAAATCTTCATGGAAATGCAGGTGATGATTATTTTGCCATCACTGACTCATAGTGACCAAAACAGAATCAGGAAAGCTAAAGAGCCTAGAGGCACCACAGCGATAGCAGAGCAATTATAGTGTAATATGGGAAGGTAAGGCCTTAACAATTCCCTTAATATCTATACAACTGTAATGGCCTTCATGGTCTCAAAGATCATAAATAATAAGGATGAAAAATATCCCTCTGTAATAATAGACTTTTGTTTCCTAATTTTCATAGGGACACCAAGAAATTGCTCAGTAATTTTTATACATTTCCTGCCGGTTGCTGCAGGCATGTCGCTTGCTGGGGTAGCAATAACCCAGAAGAACACAACGTGGTGAAAAGCATCAGTCAATCAGGATTTCATTAAGAATATGAAATGATAGCAGGACATGCAAAGAGCATTCAGTACGTGTACAGACTGCACTTACCAAAGGGACTTAATGTAAGTTAAAAACATAAGATTTGAAAGATAATGTCCCTCGGATGGGTACAGATGTACTGCATTATTTTAAAGGCAAGAATAATTTAATCCTATTTTAAGTTCTGTTTTCATTCAGGGCTAAAAAAATCAAATGTTAAATACTATGTAACAACATAATTAGTTTCCAGAACAAAGCCTTACCCAAAAGCAAAAACACCCTGCTTTTACTTTCATTGAAGCACAAAATCTTTCAGTGAGTGTGAACAGTCAGCAGATGTCAGAGATTTAAAAGAACCACCTTAGGAATTTAAGGGTCCATCACAAAACCTAAATTAACTATTCTCAGCAGTATTCACTACAAGAGAACATGGCAGATTCCTCTATCAGGACTGACATAATTGAAGTTTATATAGAAGTAATCTTAGAGGAAATATTGACACTACAAATAATAATAAATTTCCAAGGCCCAACTTCTGTATGGAAGGAGGCAGGATGTACTGTTTTCCTTCACTGAGCCTTAGGACTAGAAAGAAGGTGGTGTTTTTTGTTTCTTTTGTTTTTTGTTTTTTTTTTTAAAGTACTCCTAAGAACATCTGAGGAATGGCAGACCACTAGGTCTGACTTCTGTGTCAAGTGTGTTGATAGAAAACACATAAAAAAGTATAATCATTAGGATTGTATTCAGCGCATTCACACATAGTAGTCTTAGCACACAGTCATATACCAACAACACAGCTTTTAACCAGGGAAATTGTGCTTCAGCTTTCCTAAAGAGTCTGAGAGCATATGAATAGCCAAGCTGCTTGCATTTCACATAATTCTTTACAGCGTCACTCACCAAAGGCTGTTGAGGAAACTAAATTCTTGGAGGGGCTGAAGTACAGCCCCATTTTCAATTAAAAATAGATTAGAAAAAAAAAAATCACCTATTGTATGGATAACTGCGAGATTGTCAGTGAAGACTTATCTGGGACTTCACTATTCTACACATAAACTGTCTGGAAACAAAATTAACAGAGAAGTAGAGAAGGTTGTTGATGTAGCATTATTTAGAATTTTTAAAGTTAAAACTAACCCTGAAGAACTGCAAAAGGATATTGTGGTAATAGAAATAGAATATATAGGCAATAAATAATATCACCACCAACAAATTTATATAATACCTAAGCCTAAAAATATAATACCTTTATTAGATATTATCAATAAAGACATTAGGGTGCCATAGTGTACAAACATCAGCTCAAGTAAAAAATAGAAAATAGAACTGAATTTTGCGAAACAAACAAAAAAATCCAAGGAAATAAATATTATGATAGAAAGACCTACATCTTCATGATTGTTGTGCAGTTCTCATCTTCACATCTCGAAAGTGAGAGAATGGAATTTGAAGTGCCACATGAGCACTAGGAATGCATATTAAAGATTCTTTTTGAGGAAGGATTGATGGTCTGGAGTTTTTCAGTCAGTAAAGACATATTTGAAAGGAGATATGATAGCTATCCTGTAAAACCATGTAATTGGTTAACTGAGATAAATCAGAAACTAGTATTCATAGTAACAAAAAAAATTCAGAAAAGAGTAAACAAAGTTACAAGGAGTGTAACTAAATTATAAATTTATTGACATTTTACAATCCAGTGGGAATGAATTTTTTTGACATATTATATGAGCAATCAGTCTAGGATAAGGAAAATTTTAGTTGACTGTCATTTTTTGATGGCCTGGCTTTACTTTAATACCCAGGACACACATGTTTTTGGTTTTTTGTCCTATTTAAAAAAGAAGGTTCATAAGGCAATGCCAAAACACTGATTTAGTCATGTCTTGGAGAAAATGGGTCAGTATTGATAGCACACATAATTCTTGCAGGATAATTGTTTTACAAAGAAATCTGCTACCTATAAAATTATTTATAAAATTACATTATTTGAAATAAAAGCATTTATGCTTTCTTTTTCTGTAATTTGATTCACTTATAAGACACATTTAGATTTTCTAATTAGACTTAAGCCCCTAATGAAACAATCAAATGTATATCTGTTCAGACTTCCTCCCAGAACCAAGTTTCTTTATACTGGACCTTTAGGGGCCTGAGTGACAGTGGGAAAATGAGAGCACAGCCCCACTGGAAATTCCTGAGCCCCATAAGGAACATTTGAAGGCTAGGAATATATGTTTTACAGTTCCAGTCTTATGTATTGTTTTTTGCTCTAGCAGGTTGTGGGTTGTTTTCTCATCTATCTCTGCCAACTATTATTCTCTCAGCTGTAAATCCTGTACTCCTTTACTTCCAAGTTTCTTCTTACACTCCTTTCTTTTCTTTCTAACATAAGAGATCTCTGTTCTCTCCTGTCTTTTCATCTCTTGTTCCTATTTGCTTGCATTAGAGTTTTTTGAGAATCTTGATTGATTTTTTATAGATTTAGATTTGTCTTGTTGCTACTTTTTCAATAAGTCAGATTTTATTCAGTTTTCCTCATCTAAAAATTGGAAAAATTCTTACTTTGTTAAATACAGCCTTTTGTTCCCAAGTACTTCCTACACCCATAGCCTAAATTCCATCTAAATAAACACAGCTGTTAGAGTCATATTCTTCTCCTTCCATGCTACTAATGATATTTCCTCCAAGTGGCATCAAATACAAATTTTTCACTTCACCTTATAAAACATATCTCTATTTCCTTACTGATTTCTCATTTCCTAAGGTCTTGTATTCTCCAAAGCTGTCAATCTCTCTACAGCAAATCTGAGATAACTTTATTAATTTCCATTTTTATATTTTCTCATACCTTAATGTTTCCCCATTTCCTAGAATGCTATCCTACAGTACTTAAAGTGTTGTCCTGAAAAGAAATCTACTTCCAAATTGAAAGTCTCTGAAAATAACATAACTGAATTTTGCATGTCTAAATATCTGTGTTTGTATCTGCATACACAAATGCTCCTACATAATTTGAGGGGTTTTTTTTTCTAAGCTTAGAAGGTCCCCAGTCAAACACAGCATGATATGTTGATTTATTTGTCTAATTATCAATGTGCTGATAAAAAAATATTTGGTCTATGAAAATACTAACTCTTCTTGATTGCCTACTTTAATCTTTAAAATTTTAAATATTAACCCAAATTTGAAAAAATAAATCCTTTTTTTGAGTTCAATGTTGTGCTGCTGGTAAACTCAAGAGTATATTTTAGTATATGTTCTGGACCTGGGCACACCATATCAGATCAAGCAGGGCTATCTCCATCAATTACCAGCTTTACTGCTGGGCAGATTTAAAAAGCAGGCCACGGATCTTTCTGTGATAATGGAAAACTGATGATATTTCATATTTTAAACATTCGTTATTTTCCAGGTGTGATGGGGGAATATGAACCAAAAATTGAAGTCCATTTTCCTTACATAGTTACAGCTGCAAGGGGAACTACTGTTAAGATGGAGTGTTTTGCACTTGGAAAGTAAGTAAAGATTCTTTCATAATTAAATATAATTGTTTATTAAGATGAGACATGCCTGATTTGTGGTTTCATTATTTTGCTGGATTTTATTTTACAGACAGTCCTTACTGCACTCTCAAAATAACCAATTGACAAAGTAGCTAATTATGAACTCCCTACCCAGCCATTTCTGTGGTCAGGAATTCAGTCAAGTTAACAGTGTCTCTGTCAAAATGAAACGTAACAATCTCCTAAACAAAAAGCAGAAAGGTTTTTTAATTGAAAGTTTTACCAGACTCACACCCATATATTCACAGGGATACTATAAACTAGAGTTAGAGTTTTTCCTGTAAAAAAGTCATATTTGGAGAATAAACAAACATTAGCAGAGTATTCTCCCCTCCCCCATATTCATTATTATACACAAAGCTAAAAGCACAATGTCTTGATCATGTCCTAACACACTTTGTGGCAACACCCACTCTATAGTTTCTACCTGACCTAATAGCACTACAGTGTTTGCTATTCATGTCAAGGGGTTTTTAGATGTTTGTAGATAAAAGAGTTCAGGAAGAGAAAGGTATGAGAAACGGAAACTAAAATTACTTCTAGAAGTATTGAGATTACAGAATACAGGATGAAATTGATAACATTTCAGTTTTGTGGTGGTAGTTACTATTAGTTACTCAAGTAACTATTATGATTGTTCCCAAGAATAAGGATGGAAATGTTAGTATACAGGCAGACAGAACTAAGAGTAATTTCTAGTGATTCAAAGAGATTCTTTCTTCTTCACATATATGCTGCTAAAAACAGGTGTTCCTTCAGTGATGTTTCTCTAGAGACATCTAAAAAATTATAACGGGTAGGGTTCTTTCCAAAGTATCTCATCAAATTCTGTGTGGCGTGTTGAATAAAAGTCTCACTATATTGAATTCTTTTCAGCTCCTTTTCGTAATGCTATTCTTTTGGACATCTTCCCCCTAGTCTCCAAAATTATGCTGCTAAATATCACATATCCTGCTTGCTTTTATAGTTCATGGTTTATCAAAAAACATACAAGTTTCTTACAGCATGGCCTTGATTAAAAAATAAGGGAAGGATTTTTCTCTGTAACTCCTTTGGAGGAATTTCACAAAAGAGTTAGTCTGAGAAATACTATATCTTACATAATAATTCTTTTTATTTACCTAAGGAGGAACAAAACATAGGTTAGGAGTTTTAAGACAATAGTCTGTTTTCCTGAGGATCATTCCTCCAGCTTGTTCAGCAGGTCTCATTTTTCAGAGTGACTTTTCAAAACCTGTCTCTTCTACCCGAGAGGGCATTTTAAGTCCTTTTGTTCTCCATGTGTCACTGGTCACTGGATTTTTTCTGTTCAGATTTTTCTCTTAGCAGTTCCTAATTAATGACTGGATGATATATGTCTGAAACTTACTCCCTCTTGCTGTTTTTTCATGTTTGACCAATACCAAAATGCTTTCAGTGTGCAGGTCAACAGCAATTATACACAAATAATAAAAGAGAAATTCTGACAAAATTTTTCAGTTGTATCTCTTTAGATTCAGTGAAGTTGATGAAGAAGCAGGACAAAGCCAAACCAGTCCAAACAAAAGGTGGGAGACCATAGCCCACGTGGAGGGAAACATTAGTGACAGCAGCTTTTACAAATTCAGTCCCAACATAAACGCAAGCAAGAACTTTTGTGAGAGTAGAACACATGTGAGACAAGAACTTTTGTAGGGTAGAACACAAGTCTTACGTTTTATGTAGTAAAGATGAGGAAAGAGGTCCATGACAGAGGACTGGTAAGCAATAAATTGAGAGATTCCCTGAGATGCATAAATAAATGAGGAAAGGGCTGCTCTGTAGAAGCTGATGGCTCCAGGCTCTCTCCTGTCAGAAACACTGCCAAATAATAGTTGGCAATGAAGCCCTTTTAGACGCTAGGTTATGGTTGAAGAAGCCACCAACATATTACTTCTTATTTTCCTCATTTTACTGGAATTAAATTGCAGTTGCTGACAGATTACAAATCAACTTTCCAGTGAAAAGGAGGTATGACACACATTGTCCTCTGCAACCATCACTGAAAGGCAAGAAACAGACCTACTGATACCTTCCACCTCCAGCACTGTGAGATTTAGTAAAATCTCTCAAAAAGATTCGATCAGTATTCAGAGAGGAAGATGAAGTTGACAGGAAGGACTAGAATTACGTTATTTCCTATTTTTTACTTGGTGTTAATCTTTAATAAACAAAAAAATCAAGACCATCTGAATGATGAAGGAATTCAAGGTTACCTAATAAGACCCCATTTATATAGTAATGGGCAGCTATTTTTACCATGCACATTCCTTATCTTCTTTTCCCAGCCATTAATGCACAATCAAATCAGCTGAGCTGAAATTGCTTTCAACTTGATGTGGTAATAATTACATGAATGACATTTCAGGCACTATTTGAAACCTGGAGGCTGAGGTGAGAAGTAGAAATGCATCAAAGTTCCTATTAATTTTCATAATTTTCTTTTTTTGTCCCCATTTCTTGTTCCTAATGCCCTGTAGGAGTTGTTGCTTGTTACATTGCCATGGGTCCCATTTGCTAAACTGAATCAACAACTAATTTATTCCATTTTTATTTAGTATTTTGAAATTTGGCATTTTGAATTCTTATTGTAAATAACACTAGGTTTATTACAGTCTTAAAACCAATATGCTGCTGGTATTCTCATGTTTTAATTTAGCTATCTGAAACACTCTGTTCTTTCCACTATAATTGTGAGAATGACAAACGTTCCAGTGAGATTTTCTGAAGTAGCAAATATTCCAGGAAGAGCCTATTCTTTAGTTACTGATTAGTGATTTATTAATGATTTCTTAATGTTTATTTAGCATTGTCAGTCACCATGGCTGAAATAATTAAATAAATTGAAGCTCTGAAGCTTTTGCCTTCAAACTAAAGTCAAATATCTTAATTGCTTGACAGACAAAAATTTTCTGAGAAGGATTTTATTCTGAACCAAGCATATGTAGCTGATTTAGTTACAAGTGAAAATATTATGTTACTGATGCCATTTACAAATAAATTTTGTAGCTGATAAAGAATTCAAAGTAAGGAGTGAACTATCTCAAGATTATCTAACTTGCACAAGATAATGATTCTTATCATGAGCATCAGTCATTGTCTAAGAAATCACTGCATAAATCAGTGATTTACTGCTGAGGTTTAACAAGACATGAAAAACAGAGGAACCAAATAAAATTTACTGCATATATATCAGTGTGCATTTTGCAATTAGTGACCTTTTGTGCTGGATATATAATGCTGGCCCGAGGCTGCTTTTATAGACATTTTCACTGCCACATCTACACAACAACTTATGTTTCAGTTACATCTATTTTCCATATATGTACCTATATATAGCATACAGATATGTTTTCTGCCACCCATTTAATTATGTAATTTCTATTAAAAATACTTGAATTCCCTAACCAAAAAGGGGGTCATATTTTTTAAAAAGCATGCTAAAACCCACTGCAATAACAAGGTATTAACAGTGTGCATTTATTTTTAACGTTTCACAATAACAGATATACTTCTTTTTAATTTGCAAAATTGTTGCATCCTGATTAGTATTTACATAAAATGTTGTTAAAATAAATAATTGAAAAGAAAAGGAAGAAATCTGAATGGAGGAATTCAAAATATTTAAATTAATAAAAAATATTCTAAACAGCAATATGTTAATGTTTGCTTTTGAGTAAAACAGTTTTCACTGCTTTTGTCTTCTCTTATTTAAAAAGACAAGTTAATTTTTTTGTAAAAGTAATAAATGAGCTAATTGATAATGAGGTTTTTGTTTGTAGTTCAGATAATCCTGATTTTTTATGTCCATTTCAGTGTCAGACCTTAGAATTCTTATGTAAATCAGGAAGACAGACCACAATCTGGTTCTCCAGAAAAATTCTGGTGAAGAAGATGTAATTTTCCTAGCTGACATTTGCACAAATTACAGCATTCCTGGCTTTTCCTGCTCCAGAAATGCAACTTTTCAGACACTGCCTTTTATGACAGAAGGTTTCTATTTTCATTTTCTCTCAAATGTTACTGGCTTTGTTTTCAGGAAAATCTAGAGGCAACTGATCCATTCTTTAATTTGCTTTTTATGTACTTTAACCAAAGAAATAATTCTGGTGCCTTCATTTTGCTGCCCACTAAAAAGAGATGAAATTAATGCTGTTGATATGCAAAAGGACTCTAAATTCCATCCCCACTATATGACACATTCATTAATGAAGCACTTTGGTGACAGCCAGCCAAGTATTCTTCAGCTCTTCCTGACTTTGGAGCATACTTATGTCATAAATAATTTTAACACTATTATTTTAAATACGGGACTTAAAGGCAGGTATAGATGGAAATATACTGGGTTTTTTAAAGCCTCAAAATGAACAAGTTTTCATAGTTTGAGAAATGTTACAGAACTGGTTTGTCCAAGTTGACATGAAAAGCTGTAAGTTTCTGCCCTCTTCAATGAGCCCAGACCCTTGGCCACAGAGGAAAGCAAGAAAAGTGCAAGTGTCAGAAACATCTTTCTTTTTTTCCTCTTATTATTCTTTCTAGCATAAAACCCTAAGCTGTCTTTTTGCTTCTATATGAATAATTTTACTCTCACTCTTTCACAAAGATTTTTAAATTTTAAACTGTGTATTATGCACACACCCCACCTGACCCTAACAATTCAGTCTTTTCCTTAGTGCACTTTTGTTGGTGCACCAGGCTTCTATTTTGTTTTCCATATAAAAGTCACATTTCATCGGCTTTCTAGCTTTAGTCAGTAAAAAAAAAATAGCATTTGTATTGTGATAGTGCCAGCAGCCAATTTTGAGTGAGTAATCATCTTTTATTTCTCATTAAAACAAATTACAAAATCTGGGGTATTGCAGTACTTGTAGATTACCACAGTTTTCAATCTTTGCTCTTAAAATAAGGGCTGTATAGATTGCCAAAATGATTGT